TCGGACGCTTAACCGACTGCGCCACCCAGGCGCCCCAGAGCAGTAATTTTAAAGCCTGAAAGCTAGAGCTTATCCCAGCATTAATTCTGAGAGATATTATCTTTTATTTTTTTTAATGTTTATTTATTTTTGAGAGAGAGCGCAACAGGGGAGGGGCAGAGAGAAAGGGGGGCAGAGGATTTGAAGCAGGCTCCGTGCTATCAGCACAGAACCCAATGTGGTGCTCAAATTCTCAAACCTCAAGATCTTGACCTGAGCCAACGTCAGACACTTAACTGACTGAGCCACCTAGGCGCCCCAGATACGTCTTTTAAATACATGAATCTCCCGATGACTTCTGTGAATGGAGTTAAACCCATAAATATGAAAAAGCACTGACATAAAATACATATTCCAAAGTTGGGACAAACAGATAGTAGGGTCTGAAAAATATGACACTAAATAATACCATGTTATAATTAATTCTAACTTTAAAACTGAAACTTATCCAAATGCTTTATAGCTTAACAAATGCTTTCTCAGGGATCATTTCAGTTACTCCTCCATAGGCAACAATATTCTTACTTTACGGATAAGGCTGTTAGTGACTTGCCAAGGTGACAGAGCTATTGACAGAGTTTATTGTTATTTTCTTCAATAGTAAATATTAATCCAACTGACAACGATCACAAGTTATTTGCTTGTGTGGCAATTAGATCAGTTCTTACTCTAAAGCAGCAGTTAAAAGGACCTTGTCATCAATGAAATCACTTGCCAAAAACACAAAAACACAAAAACTACAACATTAACACTAATTCTAGAAAATTATTTCTTTTTTTGGGGGGGGGGCATTAACTAAATTCATTACTTTCTTCCTAAAATAGTCTATTGTCATAGACACATAAGAACAACTAAGTCATTGATGCAAAATAACCCAAAGAATGCCTTTAAAACATAAAATGACTATTTTATGTTCCCAATTAGAAGGGAAACATAATCTGTGGCAGCATTTTATTTTCTGGAAAAACTTTGATTTAAAATGGGATGTTCATGATTTTGCCACATTTGAAATGCCCTTTAAGTCTACTATAATCACTCTAATAAATTCTTACCATAGTTTGTGGAATTAATGCATAGTTTTGAACTCCTAGAACTCGGCTGAGAAAATTTTGTCCACAATTTTTTCCAACCCAAAGCATCAATACCTGGGGACAGGAAGAAAATTATTTTGAGATGTGCATTTAACAGTCTGCTGCTGACTCACCTTTACCACTGAGTATATTTTTGTGTGTGTGTTTTTTTTTTTTTTTTAAGTTTATTTATATATTTTGAGAGCAAGAGAGCATGAGCAGGGGAGGGACAGAGAGAGAGGGAGACAGAGAATCCTAAGCAGACTCGGTAGTCAGCACAGAGCCAGATGTGGGGCTGGAACTCAGGAACTGTGAGATCATGACCTGAGCTAAAACCAAGCGTTGGAGGCTCAACCGACTGAGCCACCCAGGCACTCCTAGCACTGAGTATGATTTAAAAGATCAAAATAGTAAATATGTTTAGTGAAATTGTACTGACTTCAAATGAACTAATAATAATCAGTTTTAAGCATGATGAGACATTTTATGCTTGGCATGAAAAGAGGCTATGAAGGGAGAATGTGGCTCACACAAAAATAGAGATTAAATAGCATATAATCTGCCCCAAAAAAGAAGATATTATAGGGAATGAATGTGTACTAGTACATGAAGGGAATGATCCAGATCAGTCAGACTAACTCACAGAGCCTGCATCCATGAGGAAAGCTCCATCCCTGCTGAGCTTCTCCACAGAAAGCTGAAGAATAGGCGGCTGAGGTATGGTGCGATCATTGATGTTGAGTGCTCCCTGAGAAATTAGATAGAAAAGTTAAAGCTTTTATTTTTTATTATTTAAAAGACTATTTTTTTAACATTTATTTATTTTTGAAAGAGAGAGAGAGAACGAGCAGAAGAGGGGCAGAGAAAGAGACACAGAATCCCAAGCAGGCTCCAGGCTCTGAGCTGGCAGCACAGAGCCCCATACGGGGACGGGGCTTGAACTCTAGAGCCATGAGATCATGACCTGAGCCGAAGTCGGATGCTTAACCAAATGAGCACCCCAAGTGCCCCCAAAAGTTAAAGCTTTTACTAGATAATAATTGAGAACAAAATACCCCAATAATTAGACAACGGCTAACAGACAAGATGGGTTCCTTCATGTCAAAGGAGAATAGATAAAATTTTATTTTGTTTTATTAAAGTTTATTTATTTTGAGGGAGAGAGAGCACACAAAACCAAGAATCAGACACTTAACCGAATGAGCCACCCAAGCATCCCAGAAAAGCTAAAATTTTTATCAGGCCAAATGATCATTGAGGAACAAAACCAGTCAACACAGCCTGAGTTGACAAGCCCACATAAAATTCAGGAAAATTTGCTGACCCTGCCACAAATCTTATCACACCCTCCAGCAGCTGCCATATCCTGAAGCTGCTACCAGAAACACTAAATTGTATCCTGCTTGTCAACCTGCTCCTGAAGTCGCAGTTTGGGACCTCAGTCTGACCAACTCCTAATAAGAACCCAGAACTTGCAGTTTCTGCCTACGTAACCCTGAGCTGAAATCCTTCCTCCTTCAGAATGTACTTCTGTTTGGAAGGCTGCATCTCCTGGTTTGTAAAGTGTTTAACACTAAAGCTTTCCCTGGCCTCTGACCAAACCTTTGAATTCCAAGAATTTTTGTTGACATGGTAATATGGAGTCACAATTAAAATTTTAATTCCAATGTTAATTCCAAGACTTTGAAACTTACTTAGGTAAATCAGTTATTCGTATTTAAATATAAAGAAGATGAAGAAATATTTATCACTTATCTAAAAAAACCCCATTGTGAATTCTAATAAAACCAAATTAACTTCTGATTTTAACTATTATAAAATACAATAAATGCAACTAATATCTATGTATAATTAGTTAATAATAATGGCTGATTGTGTGGCTTAAGTCATGTGTACATAATGAGGGAGGATTAAAAGCCCAATGCAAATGATATCTTAATAGTTCTTTTCAGTTTGACATATCTTTTATTTATTAAGGCCAGAAATGGAAGTTTCTCATTTCTAAAAGACACACTGTTATCTGAAAACACAAACACACCTTTAAATATTCATAACTTAATTTTTGACCCAAAAATTTTTAACCATTTAATCTAGGTACTTGATTAAACCTTAGAAGCAGGAAGTAAATAAAATACTGACCTACCAAGAGGTATTTCCCCTCTAGCCATGAGGCTTTAATTCTAACAGGGACTATTAACCATATTACCTTAAGACTTCTTGCCTTAGGGCATGTGAAAAGCAGGAGAAAGACCATGCACTGCCTCAATATAGCTATTTAGAAATTTCTAGAGGTTTTCAAATATGAAAGAAAAAATAATCTTGACTTTTTTCTGGTGGGAAAGAAAAGAAGCTATCAGTGGCTCTGTTTTCTAGTCTTCTAAGTAAAGGCCCATATGAAAGAATGAGGCAATGCAAAGACTCCTCAAATTTCATATGCAATTTGTCCTTTATATATGCAAGATCGTAAATTCTTTAAGCTTTGAAAGGTTTTTAGCCAAAATATTGCTTCCTATACACACACCCACACACATATATATACATATATATATACATATACATATATATACATATATATATATGTGTGTGTGTGTACATATATATATCCTAACTTGATCACAATTTTAGAAAGAAAGATTATGATTTGATATTTTCATGCATCTGACTTTAACTCAGGTAAATAATAATATCTCAGTGGGAACTTCAAAAGAAAGAAAGGGGAAAAAAAAGGACAAATAATGTTACAACTTAAATATTTTTTAAATCAATAATATTGCTGCACTAAACACTGACCTGGGGTTTTCAGATATAATTTCGCCCTCAGGACACTCCCTTCAGATCAATTTGTTTAAATAAGTAAATCAGATAGGCTCTACATTTAGGAGATTCGCTTTAGAGATTTGTCTTTTTTTTTTTTTTTTTAATTTTTAATGTTTATTTATTTTTGAGAGATAGAGCGGGAGGTTGGAGAGGGGGGAGGGGGAGACAGCGAACAGAGAGAGAGGGAGACACAGACACAGAATCTGAAGCATGCTCCAGGCTTCAAAGTGTCAGCACAGAGCCCGACATGGCACTCGAAGTAAGGAACTGCAAGATCCTGACCTGAGCTGAAGTCTGACACTTAACCGACTTGAGCCACCCTGATGCCCCTTTACAGATTTGTCTTAAACAAACTTAAGGAAATTTATTACTTCAATATCTTAAATAATAATTTAGTAAGAAAAGAGATACTATCTCATGAGCTTCCCCAAACCAAAATTTCCTTACAAAGACTTAGCGAAGGAATAAAAACTTTCCTCATTTCTACAATGGACTCAATATAATTAGGCTTACAAACCTCCAAGAAAAAGCCACTAAAAAAGCAATCAATCTTACCTCATCTGAAAGATTGTCAACTCTATACAAACTGGGATGAGTTGTGAGCATAAGGTAGACCAATGGCTGATTTTTCACTTGACACATGGCAAAAATGCGTTCATCTAGACGTGCGTTTGTCCCAGTCTGAAACGATTTCTATAACAAAAAACCACCCCCCATCCAAAAAATGGGTATTTAATAACAAATATAAACAAAGCTTTCCAACTCAGATGTTAAAAGAGTATCCTCAGACAGAATTAGCAAATTTACTGTTAATTATTCATTTAAAAGTATCTTTTAAGAAGTCGCACAAATCTATTAAATTGTGGTTATAGCCCCACCTGGAAGAAATTAATTACCTGACCATGGCAAAGTCACTGGATCTCTCTGTTTCCTAATCAGTGAAATGGATCTAAACACTCTACCATAGAATGATGGTGACATAAAAATCTAAATAATACCATGAGAAGGGTAAGGTTATATTGCAGATGAAAAAATGAAAACACAAATGAAGGACCAAAGACCTGTGTTTTATAAATGCTGGGTGATGACTAATGGTGGTTAACTATCCTTGTTTCTCCTTCAGTTATATAAACAACACAATAAAGCTTACAAATCAATTAGGAAAAATAATAATACAATGATGCAAATGAGGACAGTTACTTAGCAAAATAAAGTTAATAAGTAATGAATTTTAACTGTTTTTTGTTTTTGTTTTTTCCCACAGGTGATTTTATTAAAGCACGGGGACATGATCCGTGGGCAGGAAGAACTGCTGAGTTGTAACTGGTTCTTATTGTAGTGAATTGTAATTGATCTATTAGCTTCATAGAGAATACTAAAAGTTTTGAGGTAAAGTTTTAAGCATTCCTGGGGTACCTGGCTGACTCAGTCAGTAGGAGCAATGCAACTCTTGATCTCAGGATTCTAATTTCAAGCCCCAAATTGGGTGTAGCCATTACTTAAAAAAATAAAATGTTTAAAAAAAAAAAAGGTTTTAAGCATTCCTATTGATGGAAAGTAGTAGAAAGAGGCAGAGAGCTAGGAGCAATGAGATTATGCCATAAAACAAGTGTATTAACTATAAACAAAGGAAGCTGAAGATCAGAAAGGCTCTTAAGGCTTTTTGTTGTTGTTGTTGTTTAAGTAATCTCTACACCCAAAGTGTGTCTTCAACTCACAACCCCAAGATCAAGAGTCACATGCTCTACTGATCGAGCCAGCCTAGGCACTCCAAGGCTCTTAAGATTTTTTAAAGTAAGCTCTGTGCCCACTGTGGGGCTCAAATCCATGAGACCAAGAGTTGCATACTCCGCCAACTAAGCCAGCCAGGCGCCTCAAGATTTTTTAAATTAGTATGTTGATAGTCACTAAGAAAGAAAAAAGAATATTATGGGAAATGGAAGAAGGAAATTTCATTTATTGATTCAATAACTACTGAGAGCCTGTTATGTACTAAGAACTGTTGTTCTAAGTGCTGAAACAAAGTGGTAAACTTTTCAAAAAAGATAAATATCCCTGTCCTTATAACTAAAAAATCCTAGTAAGAGAAAAGTAAATAATAAATAAGCAAAATACTGATATGTCAGTGTTAAATGCTTTAGAGGAAAAATAAGGGAGGGAAGACAGATAAAGAATGTAGGTTAGAATGGTAACAGAGTGTTGCACACTAAATGGGGAGGTAAGGGAAGGCAGGCCTCAGCGAAAGGACAGCATTAAGGAAAGACCTGAAGAGGGAAAAGCTCAGATTTTTAAATGTTAAAATTTAAGTATTTATGTAATTTCTATGTATTTAGATTATATTCAGAAGTAGAAATGTATAATTTGAGTTAAAGAAACTAGAAACTGATCCAAAAGCCATCCTATTAGGTTAAGTGGGTTACCCTTCTCACCTAAGAAGAGATGACATACACCAGAAAGGTAGATCCTGGAGTTCAGAAAAGTATACAAATTGACAAGATCCAGAGTACTTTTGATCAGTTTTGAAATCTAGGATGTAACCCTAAGTGATTTATTAACATGAGCTTTTTAATAAAACTTACAAGGGAAAGTTACAGTAAGTACATAAGCTTGGACATTGTATTTTGTACCCTGGAAAAATAAGTCTCCTCCACCAGCCCAGAGTTTCCTTTCTTTTTTGGAGAGCGGGGCAGGGGGAGCCAGTGGTATGGGTAAAGGGCAGGCAGGGGAGATCATTAAATAACAATATCAAATGAAAAACTCTACAGGACCATAGAAGGAAAGGCAACTGCTAGAGAGATAACATTTGAGCTCAAACACAGTAAGAGGAAAGTGCAATGCAGCCCATGGCACAGGTATGAGAAGGCATAGCTAAGATTTAGTAGTATGTGGCTGAGATACTGTAGGGAGCAGGAAAAAGCGAAAAGAAGAGTTTCATGTGTGACTTCTTGCTCTAGCAATAAAAGATTGTTTTGGAAAACTGATCATTACTTACATCACTTACATCTTTGATAACTTAAGTGAATACCTTGTGAACATCTCTTACAAATAAGGCACACGCTTTAAATCAGTATTTTTAAACTTTTTTGGGTTACAAATTTTTTCAAGGTTCCAATAAAAGCCAGGATCCCTGTGCTTAGAAAACTTAACTGGCTTAAAGTTATACATACAATGTTTAGTGGTTCACAGGATAAAAACTTGGGCTAATGACATTATTGTGTTAGTTTCTGGGTTTAACTCTCTTACCTGTTTAAGGAGAGCCAACACAAAGAGTGGGAAAAGCCGCAAAGAAAAAGGAACCATGAGTCCAGGCTGCTGGTTACTTAGGACTGAAGAACGATAAGCTGAAAGAGAGTCTATGACGGCATTCACTAGGGCATCCCGAGCATCACTCAGACTGGCAGTCACAGACCTGTCAACAGCTAACAGATGGAAGGTAGGAACAAACAAGAGAGAAGATAGAAGTTTAGCTATCCCACTTCTATCCCACTGTTACAGATAGAAGAGATGTATTTTTTTTTATTATACATATTCCCTCTCCAGTGTATCACATACACAAGGAGACAAGCATAGCAGCTCAAAGCACATCGTCTGAAGAGTCAAATCAAAGTTGGCTGAAATGTTTCTCTATTTCCTAACTGTAAGACAATATGGCAAGGAATCTAACCTTCATGAGTATGTTTCCTTACCTGTAAAATGGCAAAACTGTTCTTTGTTCAATCTAAGATGTTATTTTGAAATATTCTTTCTAAATAAGTTCTACTCCCAATGTGGGGCTTGAACTCATAACCTGGAGATCAAGGGTTACAAACTCAACCAAGTGAGCCACCCAGGTACCCCAAATCTAAGATGTTATTAGTAGTAATCCACCATTTTATTTACATACTACAGAAAAAGAAAAAAGTCTGCAACTAAAGCACATGCTTTCTTCACAGAGAATTTTACCCTATATTTATTGCAAGAGCTCTTAGCTACTTAGATGCTTCTCATCACCTGTCATGCCACTCTGTTTACATGCATTTCAGCATACTGGAAAAAAAATTTTTCCCCTGAAGAAAAATTTAAACACTAAAAGCACATAATTGTTTTAGAGAGTTCTTAAACTACAACTAAACTAAATTCATGGGGCACCTGGGTGGCTCAGTCAGTTAAATGTCTGACTTCGGCTTAGGTCATGATCTCACGGCTGTGAGTTTGAGCCCTGCATCAGGCTCTGTGCTGACAGCTTGAAGTATGCTTCAGATTCTGGGCCTCCCTCTCTCTCTCTCTGCCCCTCCCCTGCTCATGTTCTGGCTCTCTCTCTCTCTCTCTCTGTCTCTCTCAAAAATAAACATTAAAAAAAGTTAAGGGGCATGTGGGTGGCTCAGTCGGTTAAGCGTCCAACTTCAGCTCAAGTCATGATCTTGTGGTCCCTGTGTCTGAAACCTGCATGAGGTTCTGTGCTGTTAGCTTGGGGCCTGGAGCCTGCTTTGGATTCTGTGTTTCCCTTTTTCTCTGCCCTTCCCCTACTTACACTCTGTCTCTCTCAAAATTAAGTAAATAAACATTAAAAAATAATAAAAATTTTAATTAACTAACTAACTAAATTTATGTTGGGGCACCTGGGTGGATCAGTCGGTTAAGCATCTGACTCTTGATTTCGGCTTATGTCATGATCTCACGGTTCTTAAGATTGAGCCCTGCGTGGGGCTCTGTGCTGATGACATGGAGCCTGCTTGGGATCTTCTCTTTCCCTGTCTCTCTCTGCCCCTACTCCTTGAGCTCTCTCTCCCTCAAAACAAATAAGCTTAGGGGCGCCTGGGTGGCGCAGTCGGTTAAGCGTCCGACTTCAGCCAGGTCACGATCTCGCGGTCCGTGAGTTCGAGCCCCGCGTCAGGCTCTAGGCTGATGGCTCGGAGCCTGGAGCCTGTTTCTGATTCTGTGTCTCCCTCTCTCTCTGCCCCTCCCCCGTTCATGCTCTGTCTCTCTCTGTCCCAAAAATAAATAAATAAAAAATAAATAAATAAATAAGCTTAAAAAAAAAAAACCTCAATTCATGTGATATCAAAAATACAATCAATACTGGGGTGTCTGGGTGGCTCAATTGGTTAAGCATCCAACTTTGGCTCAGATCATGATCTCATGGTTCGTGGGTTCAAGCCCCACATCGGGCTCTGCCCTGACAGCAGAGAGCCTGCTTGGGATTCTTTCTCTACCTCTCTCTCTCTCTCTGCCCCTCCCCACTCCTGGCCTCTCTCCCTCTCTCTCAAAAATAAACATTAAAAAAAATACAATCAATAAAGTGATGTTATTAACTGCTATAACCAAATTTGTATATAGCCAAGAAAGAATAAAGACCACTGTCACCTGATCAACAGTTAACTCTTAAGACTTCAATTAAAGACATCCTGATTTTAAAGATTTTGATAAAATCTTTATCAAATGTGAAAAAAATTTATAAATTTTTTTTAAAAAATTTATAAAATGTGAAAAAATGTTCATAATGCTATCAACCACATTTAGTAACAAAACCAATACTTTTTGTGAAGCAAACCATTGTGCAGATTTTTTCAAACCTACAAATACCACCTAATATATAGTTCTTGCTGATGATAATAAAGATAATATTGATCATACTGTTACTAAAAAGTATTAGTTGAACAAAATATAAAGGCAATGACCCTCAAATTTCTTAGGTCACAATCTTTAACTTTCTTTTTTTTTAATTTTTTTTTTTTTTAACGTTTATTTATTTT